TATTTCAGACAAAGACCAGAGCTGGTTCGGAGTGAGAAGTTTTTTTAATTCCTATGTACATCGAATGTCTTCAAATATTGTCGTGTGTAGTATTGCTAAGGAAAACCCAAGGTGCTGCACAGTGATAATAGCACGAAGAGAGAAAAAACAGGGCAAGATATGCACCAAATGGACCAGAGCAGTAAACTGCATGCTTGCAAGATTCCCCCTCCAAAACAAAACGAAAACAAAGAGCTTCTCATCTTCAGCCATTTCAATAGGGCGCGTCATTAGTCAATGCGTTTCCACAATGTCTCTCCTCACGACACACCTATCATTTACCTTTTGTGTACAATTACCAGCCAAGCGCCACTGCTGTTACACATTTCCAAAGTCAACTTCGCTTCCATGTCAATTCCAGTCAGGGGACCGAAATCGATGCCGTGCTGAACCAAGTGCGGAACTTAGTCTACTAAGCTATTGGAATCCAAATTAAAATTAGGCGTCAAAACAATCACATGCCGGCTGGAAAGCTAACCAAGCGCCACCGTAGAAACAGTTTTAGAAGTTTAGAAAAATACCACCCTTAGCCGTGCTGCTGCTGCATTGCTGCAAGCCGGGGGCGTTCCATCAAATGCCGATCAAGCGAAGATCGGCAACGACGCCGGCGCCCATCAGCCCTGCCACCCCGAGTCTCTTCCCAGGGCAGCTCAGCTTTAGCCCGGCAGATCAGTGACAGCACCGCGAGCGAAACACGATCCGGCCCGCCCGACGCAGAGCAGCCCCACCCCGGGCCGGATTGTCACCAGTCGTCGGCTCGCACATTAGGGTCGGCCGTGCACCGGCGCCGGGCCGGCGGCGCGGCTCGTCCATCACGGCCGGCGCGGCGTCCGACCGCCCGCTCAGCTCCCGGCCGGTGACGTCACACGGGCAGAAGACGAATGGGCCGACCAGGCCTGATCGCTCGGCCAGATGGCGCCGGTGTTGACGCTGTCGATCACGGCCGGGTCGGCACGGGCCGCGTCGGCACGAGAATGGTCCCGCTTGACCCGCGCCGGGCTGTCGGCGCGCTCTGGCAGTCCGACGTGATGAGAGCATGGGGAATTCGCCAGAAGTTGGGCGAGGCGAAGGCGTCTAAGCAAACTATTTAGCTAATGTTGGGTTGGTCAGCCTTGCCACTTTATCGTATTTCATTCCTGTTACAGCGGCAGAACGGCCGGATTAATAAGGGTTTTTTGAAGCCCACACCCCCAGTAAACACCTCGGCGGTGAAGCGACAGGTTCGGACGTTCCAAGTCCTCGCTCAGGTACCGGCCTGACGCCCACCTGGACACGGCGCACGCCGACAGTGGCGCGCGGCCACAATGCTTACTGGCAAGTCTCAAACAGCTGAAACAGACAGCGACAATTCTATGCTTTGTTTTGGCCGCAACGTTGGCTGACGAAGTGCAATTACCACTGCCGCGTTGACGCCATGAGGCTGTACTTCGGTCAAAACTCTTTGCATGCCTGATAGCATGAAAGGTCTTGTCGAAAAGCAAGATACAGAGCACATCTGGAGAGCTACTCAGCCGTTTTACACACTTCGCTCAAAATCTGTTTTGCATGCCCCGGCAGTGCCAAGTTAAAATCCCCGGCGCGCAAAACGTGCGCCACGTGCAGTGTTGGTAACAGACCTGTTTGACAGCGGTTACACCAACCTGGTCAAAACTAGCATGGCTTAGATATTTCTTCACTGGAGGTGCTCATTGCGGTCAGTTTTCCACACAATTTTTTTGCTGAACATCCTTCATCCGTGCCCCTTGTCAAGAATGAGTGCCTTTTGACTATCTTAAAAGGGCGGTGGGGAGGTTTAAAATGGTAGTGCAGCTGGGCGCACTCGTCATGACAGATGTGGCCGTGATGCAGCAAGGTTCTTCGAACTAAGGGGAAGTTCCATTCACGGCTGGGAACAAGCCACTGGGGTGACTGATAGGAAACAGCAGTTAAATGGGCATTGGTAATGCAGACGCATTGGAATTATTGCGGAACTGCATGAGTGCTGCTATCGTGCTGTTAGGAACCGCTAGCCACCCTGTTACTTTGTTTTACACAATTCTCAACACGTCCGGACTGAATCCCTGCAGGAGATCAGGGTGATCATGCAATGGCAGTCAAATGTTCAGATGAATGCAAAATGTTTTCGTTATGTTACCGCGGAGACCATACGCCATTTAACAACTACAACAGCCCAACACGTCAAAAATGATAAAAAAACCTACCCGACGCGGAGATGCAGCCGCAGAAGAGTTCACCAGTAACACACTGTCGGCTCCGTGCCGGATGGGCCTGAGGGGCCATTTCCCAATCAGGGACAAAGTTGGAGCCAGCGATTTACAGTGGTCAGGGCCCCAGTTTCTATCAGGGCCTAACGGGGAGAGGGGATCCGTGTTAGCAAGGGCCCCGAGTCCGCCAGAGGCAGTGTTAGAGAAGGCCCGAAGAGCCTGGAGGGCCCACCGGGTACGACGATCAAGGGCCCAACTCGAGGGTTCATGGACACCAAGGGCTGGTCGGAGTCTTATTCAGGGGCTCGGTCTGCGAGGACGGGCCCTCAAATGACGGACAGAGGGTCCTTTACGCCGATCGGGGAACCCCTGAGTCGATATGGGCCTCTATATCGGCCAGGCATCACCATTAATGCACGCTCGGCTTCGTGCCGTTAGGGATCCGAGGGCCCACTTCAAAATCAGGTACAAAGCCGGGCCAGTGATTTACACTGCTTGGGGCTTCCGCATCTTTCAAGGACCCACAGCACCTAAAAGAGTGGCCTGTGCTCGCAAGGGACCCCGAGCCGACCAAGGGCGGCGTTCGATGAGGCCTGAAAAGGCGCCCGGGCGGTTTAACGAAACCGGCTGTCAAAGGTCCGGTTAGAGGTCATGAGGGCCAGAGGGACTGGCTGTTATTCACATAGAAATGGCGGCCCGTAGGGGCGTGGCCTGAAATATCAGTTAGAGGTCCTATTGCATGGTTTGAGGACCCCTGAGACAATGCGGGTGTCCAACTCGGCTTGAAACCAAGAACACCAAACAGTTGGCTTCCTGTCAGTCCGAACCTTGGGGGTCCAAGCAGGAACAAGGCAGGGAGGCACGATTTGCTTTGGCCTGGGTCCTTGAATCAGCAGTTGGGGATTTTGTATCGGTCAGGGGCCCACAGCGCATAACAGAGTGTCATTGTCGGCTATGGGCCCCTTGTCGGTCACAGGCTTTATTTTAGGAGGTCCGAAGAGGGGATGAAGGGCTTCTTAAGACCCAAGGTCGAGAGCCCGATTGGAAGGCTGAAGAGCCCGCATGGCTGCCTATAGGTCCCATTAAGGACCCCTGCCCGCAGGACCGTAATCTCGAATGTCCTTTAGACGACCTCTTGCATCGATCGGGAGCCCCTGAGGCAGAACGTTCTTCTATTTCGGCCGGAGATCACCACCGAACTGTCGGCTCCGTGTCGGTCTGAGCTCTGGGAGGCCTATTCCCCAAGTGGGGACACGGCCGGGCCCGCGATTTACATTGGTCGGGGTTCTTGTAACAATGCGGGGTCCTGTATCGTTCAGGGGCCAACAGTGTCTAATAGGGCATTCTGTGACCACAAGGGGCCTCGAGTTTGTCAAGGGAAGAATCGCTCAACAAGGACGGAACGGGACTACGAATGACAGGGGGGGCCCTTGCGTTGGTCAGGCCCTCTGGCAATAACAGGGAGCATGATAACTTATGGTGTGTGTTCGAAATGAGGCTATGAAAGGGTCTTGTGCCGGTCAGAGACCCCCCCCCCCCCCCCCTGTACAGAACGGTGGGCCGTTCAGCTCAATTCCATCATGGACTTGTTAGGCAGAACTTGAGTCTATGTGCCAATTATTGGACAATCTGCGGTGATCAGGGATGCTGTTGCATCAATGAGGAAGCCTGCGTCGATCCGGGGTCAATTGTGCGAGCCAGATGGCCGTACCCGTCAAGGAGGAGACCAGTGTAGTATGATGTATACCTCCAACAACCCCGGGGTCGACCAGAGGATCCCGCCCCGTGTTCAGAATGAAAGCCGGAAGACTCCACCGATAACACTGGTACTGTTGATCAGATTGTACACGCCTGATGAAGCAATCAGTGAAAAGTACAAAAACGGAGAGTCCCTAAACAAATACAAATCGACTCCGAGTGTATCTGTTGTGGGCTGTTGAAACCTATTGCTACCCATTGTTACCAGTGGCTTGGACTGGTTTCGGCACACTATTTACTTCCAACACGTCGGTTGTCATGTAAAAGAAGCAACACTAAACATCTGGAAAAGTAGCATCTGACCGGATAATTCGAATCATCCGGTCGACAACCCGATCACGGGAAAACCCTCTAACCGGCCAAACCATCTGGTGCTCTCCTAGCAATGCTCAAAACTAAGTGGTTGATTTGTGATGCTCCAAATGGAATTTTGGCGACGACTGAAGTTTTTACGTGGTGGTAGATTATATGGATTGCTATTTGAAGGCCAAACGAATTGGATGCTTCTTTATCTCCAAACTTAACAATATAGGTATAATTTACTCCTTGGTGGAAATTCGTTAACACTTGTAAGCGCTGAAACGCTTCAGATACAGATGCCCCACCATGCGCAGTAAAAAGAAACATGATTTCTTCACAACCACTCCAAGAAGTGCCACTTTTCATGATGCTCCGTCCCGGGCCTTTGCTTCACATTCCGTGCGAACGTGACGACCTATTAAAAATGTGTCTGTTACGTTGACTTCTGTCTATTTATATCAAACTCTTCTCAATACACGGCAAGCTTTTATATTTTTCTTGTTTGCCTAGTTTTCGAATTAGAATGCCAAAATTACCGAAAATTATCGAGACGTCACGCAGTCATGTCAGCTGACGATCGTCTTCAAGCCTGCGTCACATCTCAATTATGCGGCGGGTACGCAAACGACGCATATTTCGTGAAACGGCGTCTTTTTTATCACTTGTGTTTCTCGTGCCGTATTGAAATAAGTATCGAAGTTGATTGCATGAGTTGGGCTGCTCCGGTTGATCCCTCGTTTTGTTTGGAAGGATTTTCTTTAGGTAGGTACTGAAAAAGAGGGCAAGTTGGCGCTGGGCAGTAGGCGGCAAGAGAACATTTACTGATGTTTTTTTGGTTGATATGCATATGTTTTACTGGGTTACGTATTGCTTTCCGGGCGGTTTGTAATTTCAGAAAATCATTTGCAGTGCACGGCTTGTGGGTAGCTAATCATGGACACTGTCAGTGTTAGCATCTTAATGGATTCAAGCTAAGGTATTTTTGGATTTTATAACATTGATATGGTGGAAGCATATCTGTTTAATTTTGATGAAAGTATATATCTTTGATAAATCCACTCACTTATTGCTTCAGCAGACATGTATGCTTTGCTCAACAATACCAGTGCCATCAGTGCAGTCTTCTAGCTTTCAGTCTGGACACTGGGTGGGATCCTCTGACTGATCTGAATGTTGTTGGAGGGGTACATCACATGTCACACTTGTCCCCTCCCCAACACAGGGGGCCCATCTGACCCACTCAGTTGACCCTGCATGGACACAGGCTTCCTCATTGATGCAGCAGCATCCCTGATCACCGCAGGTGGTCTAATAATTTGCACAGACTGCAGTTGTGCCCAACAAGTGCCCACGCTGGAATTAGGTTTCAGGGCCTGCCTCTCTGTACTGGGGGTGCTGACTTGCACACAACCCTTTCATGGCCTCAGTGTGAACACACACTATAAGTCCTCATGTTCCTGTTACTGTCAGAGGACCTGATAAACATATGTCTTGTTTGTTTTATTGGTTCAGTGTCATGTTTATCTAATGCTGCTTCAAATATAAATTATTGCAAACACTTTGTTACAATGACCTTACTTTGCAGGTACTCTACCCTTAACTTGGTGCTGGGAAGATGGCATTGGCCACCACCAGAGAGCGCAGAAGTAATGCTGGGAATCGCATGAACAAACTGATTGGGGAAGAAGAGGAAGATGACTTTTACACAACTACTTATGGAGGTTTCAATGAAGAGGAGGAGGACAAGGACTACGCGTGAGAACTTCACTTTGGATCCAATGTCTGGTCTACATTTCAAGCCAGACATTCTTCTGATGGCAAATAGAAGCTCACAGAGATGGAAAATGTTGCATGTTGGAAGTGTATCATGCCATAAGAATTCCATGTTCTTACATGCTGACACACATGCTGACATGTGGATGCTCTCTGCCATGTTTTTCTGAGATGTCCTCCTTGTTTGCAGTTCTCCAACAGTGACTTACAGTGTTGCTGGCATACCAGCCTCAGGTGTTATCCAATTGTATTATTAAATGGTGGAACCCTTTAAAATTTTGAACCAATGCTCTTACATTTTGGTACTTGTTTGCTACAATAATGCACTGATTCCCACTGTCTGGTCCTCCAGATGCTGCCAAACTGAGTGCAGTGTGGCTGCATTACTTTCGATGAATACTTTTCAGGTCCGAGAAGGAGGTGGAGGATGTGGTGGACTCTGACTTTGACATTGACGAGACAGACGAGGTCAAGTCGGACCACGAGGACGCGGATGGACAGGGTCCTCGTCGGGTCCAGAAAGGCGTCGTCACAAAAGCTTATAAGGTACTTGATAGATGGGAGGAGGAGAACGCGTGACCTTCGGCTGGTGTGGCCATTTTGCGGCGGTGACGTTCCCATTATTTCAACGAACAGACCCCGATAATATGAGCTCCCCCAGAAATCAACACCTACTCCCCCCCCCCCCTCTGGTCTTTGGTTATCTTCCCGACGGCATATCCCGTTAACACTCCAATTTGCTGCTGTCATGGAACTGTCGAATGCATGCAGTAGCTTATATGGCTCCCACGGCTGGAATGTGTGTTATGTGTTAAATTCTGATGTCTAGGAATGAAAATGCCAGCCCACAGATATTCTTGCTTGTGATGGCAATATGACTTCCTTTCTAGTACATCCTCACAACTATGTCATTTGCTTCTTATCTGACAGGCTTTCATTTTAACATCAAGTTATTTGTTCTTTATGGATGGACCATTTTGTATAAATTGGTATTTCTACCCATGTGTGCCTTGTGTGCAGACTCTGCTGCACAGCCATTAGTCTGGTTTGGACACAGTTGGTGCGGTTTCAATCTTTTGACGCTTGTGCATTCATCAGGATTGTAATGAATTCACTGAATTTCTTTAAGGTCACAGTTTTTATCTGGTTGATGCTCGTGCCATGTTCCCAGGAACCAGTCAAGAAGAAGACGGTCACAGCTACTCCAGCTGTTAAAGTAGAAAAGAAACAGAAGAAGAGACTGACCAGAAAGGCTTTGAGTAATGCTGGAAGTAAGTAGCACATGGTGACTCAATATTATGTTGTTTGATCGGTTCATGTATTCTGCACATCTGTATTATAGAGACCTGCTTGATATGGTTGATGGTTGCTGATTGTTCCATGGTTGATGGTTCCTGCTGCTTGATATTTGAAGGTGTGTCTGGAAGGCATGCAGTTATGGTGCACATAATCATACAACAAGGTTTGCAAGTAATTACGTTTTCGGAAATGTCGCGCAGTCCATTCCGTCATTATGGTGGTATGTTCTCTCTTTGGTAGACTCTGTCCTGCCTCGAACCTGCCTTGGTTTGTGTCTAAAATATTCCTCCCTGCATATAATACCCATGTCCCTTTACCTGATGTTTTGTTCTGCAGTAGTTTTGCGCTGTCCCCTGATGACCTGCCAGCTTGTGGTTGGCAACTGGAGGATATAGCAGCTCCTCCAATATGACATGCTGGACACCTGTGCTGTACACACCATGTCCCTCACCATTTACCAGTACCGACGTCCTCAGCTCTGCCCGCTCCCGGTGCCTGGCAGTTGCGGTGTCGCGGCTTCCCATGCCTGCCCGTCCCTGCCCTTCCCTCGTCGCGGCGCCCTCTGCCCCTCCTTGGCATCCCCGGCTGTGTGTGGCCCTGCCTCTCCGTGCTCCCCTTCAGCCTCCCTCTCTTCGCACCGCCAGCTCTGTCCCTACTTGTTTCCTCCCAAACGTCCTAAGCTCACTGCCGCTCCGCCGGCGTTCTCGGCTCTGACCTCTCTCCCCTCGTGGTGTCCCCGCCGGCGTCCTCGTCCTCTGCTCTGACCCCTTTCCCCTCCCTGCCGCTCCGCCGGCGCTAGTTCTGACCTCTCTCCCCTCCCTGCCGCTCTGCCGGCGCTAGTTCTGACCTCTCTCCCCTCCCTGCCACTCTGCCGGCGCTAGCTCTGGCCTCTCACCCCTCCCTGCCGCTCCGCCGGCGCTAGTTCTGACTTCTCACCCCTCCCTGCCGCTCCGCCGGCGCTAGTTCTGGCCTCTCACCCCTCCCTGCCGCTCCGCCGGCGCTAGTTCTGGCCTCTCACCCCTCCCTGCCGCTCCGCCGGCGCTAGTTCTGACCTCTCACCCCCTCCCTGCCGCTCCGCCGGCGCTAGTTCTGACCTCTCTCCCCTCCCTGCCGCCTGCCGGCGTTAGTTCTGACCTCTCACCCCTCCCTGCCGCTCCGCCGGCGCTAGTTCTGACCTCTCACCCCTCCCTGCCGCTCCGCCGGCGCTAGTTCTGACCTCTCACCCCTCCCTGCCGCTCCGCCGGCGCTAGTTCTGACCTCTCTCCCCTCCCTGCCGCCTGCCGGCGTTAGTTCTGACCTCTCACCCCTCCCTGCCGCTCCGCCGGCGCTAGTTCTGACCTCTCTCACCCCTCCCTGCCGCTCCGCCGGCGCTAGTTCTGACCTCTCTCCCCTCCCTGCCGCCTGCCCGTTAGTTCTGACCTCTCACCCCTCCCTGCCGCTCCGCCGGCGCTAGTTCTGACCTCTCACCCCTCCCTGCCGCTCCGCCGGCGCTAGTTCTGGCCTCTCACCCCTCCCCGCCGCTCCGCCGGCGCTAGTTCTGACCTCTCTCCCCTCCCTGCCGCCTGCCGGCGTTAGTTCTGACCTCTCACCCCTCCCTGCCGCTCCGCCGGCGCTAGTTCTGACCTCTCACCCCTCCCTGCCTCTCCGCCGGCGCTAGTTCTGACCTCTCACCCCTCCCTGCCGCCTGCCGGCGTTAGTTCTGACCTCCCACCCCTCCCTGCCGCTCCGCCGGTGCTAGTTCTGGCCTCTCACCCCTCCCTGCCGCTCTGCCGGCGCTAGTTCTGACCTCCCACCCCTCCCTGCCGCTCCGCCGGCGCAAGTTCTGACGTCTCTCCCACGTCCGGCAGTCGTGGCGGCTCGTCGCCGCTCCACGCTGGCCAAGTCGGCGGAGACGGCGCGCCGACAGCGTGAGCGGGAGCAGTCTGAGCGGCGCCGCGCGCCCCGCCGCGTGGTGCCCGAGCGCAAGATGACCCAGGAGGAGATCCTGGAGGAGGCCAAGGCCACAGAACAGGAGAACCTCAAGACGCTCGGTGAGGGACGCGCCGTCGGCTGACACGCGGCGTGTGTGTCCTAGATGGGCACTGGTCGCGAGCTTTAATAAGCGGGCTCTCTTGGCAGCGTAGGCAGAGGCGCTCGGAAGGGGATGAACACTCCTTGTTTGTGGCAGATGCGCGGTTGGCGAAGCGCACGCATGATGTTTTAGTGTTCTCTGTTTCTGAACAAGACTGTTCTGAGTAACTTCGTAGCAGATGACATGCCCGATGGCGCCATGGATGATAATGGTTATGTTATCAAACCACTACATAGAGCTCCATGGTGTGGTTCTGAATGAAATTGTCGTACTGATGCTGCCACCGCGCGACACGTGGCGGTCTTGCCGCTGCGTGACATCACCACTGCTGACGCCGCCCGCTACAGAGAAGTACCTGCTGATGGAGATCGAGAAAAAGAAGCTGAAGCCGGTGAAGAAGGAGTACACGGGCCCGATGGTGCGCTACCACTCGGTCCGTATGCCGCTGATCGAGGAGGTGCCCGTGGTGGAGCCGCCGGCGCCCATACAGGGCGAGATGCGTCTCGATGACATCCAGGTGAGGGGCGGCCGGGGCCGGGTGTGGCGGTGTATCAGGGTCCGGAGCCGGGCGTGGCGGCGCGCCAGCGGCCGGAGCCGGGCGGGGCGGCGGGTCAGGAGCCGAGGGGCCTTCCCAGAGTGTGTTGTTTAACACACTCCCTCTGGGAAAGGTGTATGTGCAGTATGTTTGAACCTGGGTGGTATTTTGCTGGGCTGGATGCCAGGTGGTGGGCGCGGCGCTGCCCCTGACCTGGCCACTACACCTCGCCTCAGATCGAGTTCTCGGAGCCGGCGGCCGTGCGGGACGACATCAAGTACGAGTCGAAGATGGTGGGCCACTGCGAGCGCACGTTCATCTCATTCTCCGAGCCGGCCATGGTGGAGCGCTTTTTCCCCAACGAGAAACCCAAGGTCAAGCAGAGGAGCGTCTGCCCCATCACCAGGTCAGCCAGCCACCGAGCGGTTGTCTGAACCCTAATGGCTCATGCGCCAAGTCCGGCTCACGTTTTTTCTGCTGTGCTGTTGGTGGCAGTGTAGGTGGGAGATAACAGGTTTTCGCGCCGAGCGGATCGTGTGAGGAATGCTCATCTCCCATGGCTGTAAATGCCGATTCTGGTCTGACCGGCCGTGAACCCGTCGCGCCCGGCATCCGCCGATCTTCTGGCATGCGATGGTGACAGATACCCCACCCTGGCGGCCGCTCAGGTCCCGTGTACTGCACGCTATTGTTAGGGTGCACCGAATGCGTAATGACATTCCCGAGTGAAGCTGAGATCACGCTGCGATAGGAAAAGTCGTGAGTGACGCTGCGAAAATCCCGTGTTTATGTGCTATTTGACTGGATTATGACTTGCATTCCGTTAGCTGGGAGTGTCGGCCGTCTGCGGCCGGGCCGGCGTCTCGGTGTTGGCCCTGGTTACTGCGGCGGTGTGTCTCAGTGGCGGGCAGGTCCGTCCTGTCCCCAGCGGCGCTGCCACGTGCACATCCCGTCTGGGTGCCGACCGCGGCGCCACGCTCATCGACCGCTCCCACCGCCAGGCTGCCGGCCAGGTACTTCGACCCCATCACCCGGCTACCGTACGCCAACCTGCAGGCCATCAAGGTACTCCGCGAGGCCTACTACCAGCAGCTGGAGCTCAAGGGCAACAGGAACATCCCGGAGGTACGGCCGCCGACCGTCCAGATCGCGCGGATGGTACCGCGCTGGGGATACTGCTGTGGAAAGGGGCGTGGCGCTCCGTATAGAGTGGGAGGGCTGGGAATGTTGGACACCGCCTCATTGGTCTGGATCCACGTCGAGGGGACAAAGTTTTTTTTAAATATTTAATCCGCGCATTTTTGAATGGCTGGGTTTCTGGGATCAGAGCTGACGCTAAGAATTGCTTGCTGTATGAGCCCCGACCTCTACCATCCTATCGCGCATTTCCACGTCAACGGCAGAATTGGGTGGCAGAAGTTTAACTTGCCGCAATGCTGGGCACGGTCCGTCCTGTCCTCTGATGTCACCTGACGTATAGTGCGGCCGCTGCCACCTGTCAAGGGTAAATAGCGAGCACCTTATGCGTCTCGCACCCAGCCCGCCACGAGTGGATGGATCGGAAGGCAGGCGCTCCACCCAACTGAGCCACCGGGACGGGTGGTCGCGTTGCTGTGGTCTTAGTGCATCCGACGGCATGGCAAGTCACATTGTCTTTCGTCGGTCCCTTCTAGTTGGGTGTTGGCGGGAGATCGTTTGATGAATCATCCAGTGAACCCAGCGTACCTCCTACCGCAGGTGGCGCGTTGGATCAAGTGGCGTCAGCAGCAGAAGGAGCGGCGCGCGCAGCTGCTCGCCCAGAGGCGACAGATGGCAGCAGCGGCGGGCGCCGGCGGCAGCACCGGCAAGAAGTGAGCCGATCGGCCGGCCTCTCCGATGTCGTCAGCTGCTCTGTTTTGTACATTTGCTTCATGACCATTGCTTTTGTAACGAGGCGCCCGAATGTTCATCTCAAGTGTTTTCATCTTCTTTGAGCACAGTATACGGGATCTTGTGCTTGCTCACAGTACATATCGCCCTGCGTTAACATAAACAGTGCGTTCTGTGAGCTGGAATAGTGTCACAATTGAAGAGGTTGTGCAGCCCTGCCTGTAGCGCCCCTGCCGCCAGAGCTGAGCTGCATGTGCAATGCACGAGAACCATGTTGAATCAGCATGTAGGTCAATACAATATGAATTGAGAGTCGGCTTTCCCTGCTCTCTGCAGGTCGGGCGTATTGCTGGTTTTATGAAAATGTCAAGTGCAACTGGTTTGTTCAAAGCTAAATGCCTGTGAAATGTGCATTCAATATCTTCAGCCGCGGCATAAATGCACTTTGAAAAAACATGCTTCACAATTGCGTTTGATTTTTGGTAACTGGGAAGGGAGCTCACGTCTAATGCGAGCCACGCGAGGTGATAATACAACCGCGAGGTGCAGGTTTTAACGCGTATTGCTCCAGTTCGTAGCCGACATCGGCGTCTGCCAGGTCCGTCCGGGACGACGCGAGCGGTCTGGCGGGAGTCGGCCCGCCGCCTACCGTCATGCCGCGGGCCGGTGGCCGCGCCCTCCACGGCCACATTGACCCGCGACCTGCGGGGTCGCCGGGGCCCGCTGGTGCCCTCCTTCACATGACGCAAGCGGCCGGTGGTTACCGCGACTACGGGCCCCGGATCGGGGGAAGGGGCGGGGGACGATCACACTGCCTCCGACCGGGAGGTGACTGGGGGGAACTGCGCCCATCACCTCCCCACGGCGACCGGCGCCAGTCCGCGTCGGGCGCCGCCGCTCGGGGCTCAGCATGGACCAGCCAGGTTCGCGGGCAGCCGCGGTCAGTGATCCGTCGAGCCGTCTGGCTGGGGAGGCGAGGAAAGACACGAGGCTGTCCCAGGTTGTAACCGTACGAGCAGAATCTCCAAAGAATCCTATCCGCCGTGACTGTGTGGTGAGCAAGACACGTAAAAGTTCGGTTTTCTCACATTGTGAGGGTCTGAGCCCCTTTGTTTTGCAGCGCGCGCCGTAAGTCAATTTTTGTGGGCAGCGAATCGATGGATTCCGTTGCTAACCTGACACTCCCAAGCGACGATCGGCTGTCGCGAATCCAGCAGACAATGGTGTTACGTAACGTCCCTTTAATGTTACTGTCCAAGTGAGGTTCCACCGCGGAAAGCTCAGCGTCTGATTAATCCCATGAGTTATATCTGTTCACGGTTCGGTCAGCCTGCATCCCTGGTATCGCTGGGTTCAGCGTCGCTTTCCATCACTCATTAACTGGTAGTGGTTGAGACTGATGTCCGTTGCCAACAAGATTGGCATTGTGTTTCGAGCTATATCGGACCCAATGGACTGCCTACAGCACATTGGTATGTCATTGGAGGCCTCCACGTGCGTGCGTGCAACGGTCGCGTTTTGCGAGATTCCTGTTGGTGCCTGTCAATTGCCGTAGGCAGCTGAATTGATCGCGTGTTTCAACTGCTGAGAACACTGCTGAACTTGTGGCATGACAGAGCCGTGTACGCATCGTGTAGACCCTTGGATGGCTACCCACATGGGAACGAATAGGAGATATCATGCGAAGAACGGACCGTGAATGAGGAACGGGTCAGGTCGGATATAGGTTTATTAAGATTACGGACACGGGCTGGGATTTGAAGAAATGCTCTTTGAGTCCCATGTACGTGCTTTGTGAACTAAAGCAAGACGACTAAGGCTTGCGCTTTTTCGTCAACTTACTGCTTTAACATGCATTTGGAAGTGATCCAACTGAAAGTTGTGAATGGTCGCACGAATGGCACGTGGGTGCGACGCTCGGCGCAGGGCTCTCGCTGGGCGTGGCACGGTGCCGAGACACTGGCACCTTCGCCCGAGGGGCTCATGTGAACTACAGGGCGACTGCCAACCTGTTGACCAAATTATGATAAACGCCGCTGATCGTTAACGGCAGCCTAGCGTCCTGTGATCGCTCGGTCGCACGGCGATGCATTTCCTCCGCACTCATTCCGAGAAAATATTACGTTTTATGCGGCAATAGAGCCCGTGTGGTGACTCGCCCGGTTGGTGAGTCTATCACCATGACAATTTCTTATCATATGTGGGTTTAATTCGTAGGCAAAAAGTCAACGGTCGGGTAGTGTGTGACTAGCACTGATTGGTAGCTGGTCGCGGGGTTATGACGAGGCTCAAGTCTCACAGGTAAGGGTAGGGGCGGTGCCACGAACTTTTTGGAGGGTGCGAAGGCCTGGGGCTTAATAGGGTCATTAACATAAAGGGGACTTGAGCTAGGGGGGGGGGGGGGTGTGTCAGTGGGCAGAGAGGAACTCCTGATACATTTCGGTCTTAGTTATGGCCGAAGTTCGTTCTGTTAGGCCCAAAATCGTGGAAAGGCCCTCTGAATCTCAACCGAGCCAAGGCTATATGAAAGCGTGTTTAGTTGCCAAGTGGGTGCCAGTTCATGGTTTTGACCCAAAATCAGTGATCATATATTTCTATAATACCATCTAAAACGTGTCCGCTACTCCGTCACTGGTTTCTATCTTCCCGGGGGAGGGGGGGGGGGGGGGGTCAATTCGCGACAAAGGCCCGCTTCAGGTCAAAGAAGAGACTTCGTCTTAGTTCGAAGGGGGTCTCCAGTCCTCCCGAGCCGTGACCACCTCCGCCATTACGAGGGCTTCGCGCCGTGCCACGGACCCCAGTCATCTGAGACATCTACAGTACAGGGTGTTCTCAGACTTCCCAGTCTCATCTCGGCCATGCCAGGAGGGGCATAACCTTAAGGCATGGAGGTGACCGCCTGGTGGTGATTTGGACACCCCGCTGTGTCTGGGCTCTTCAATCGCTTAAGAGCTTGCACATTTTTGCCATTTCATCACCGAGTGTTTCACCATTAGTAATAGGAGCCTTCTGCACCACAATCGTCTCTATTCATTGAAGCATCCTCCGGTCCGTCGACGGATCATCATGACATCACGATGCTGGTCGTGGCTGAGTCCGATGACTGCAGTATTAGTGCTGATTATGTATGCTAGTGATGACGTCAGGAGACCACTATGGTGTCAGAGTGGGCAAAACAATACGCGCCCACTCATCCTACCTCAGGACAGGTTGGTGGCTTACTGCCGGGCTCATTCGGGAGTGCCGCCGCTGCTGGGTGGTGGGTTTGGTGCGGCAAATCAAACCCATGAAACCCTCTAGGTCCAGCTCCTAATACCAAAGCCTAATCCCCTAATCTCCTAAACTCGGCTGGGTGAAATGTAGACGCTCGCACACGCGGGGTTTTCACGGATCCTGAGCGCGCCTCGCGAGCGTGACTTTTCGAATTAATCCTCTGTTCCTGCGAAAACCATTGTAATTATCTGCCAGGACATCCTTATGACCACAAAAAAGCACACTGTCAGGTTGTAGCGTCAAATATTCCGGGAAATCAGCCCACGTCTAGGGTCTAGAGTAAGTATTGTGCGTGCTCTCCTTACCAACATGCGAACCTGAACGTCGGCACACCACCTTTTCGTCTCAAATGTCGTTCGGTACAAAACTCATGCTCCGGCCCACGACCCATGACAAGACCCATGCTCTGAATTGTAGAAAACCGGTGCGCGATGCAACCGTTCCTTTAACCACTGGGCCAATGATACTGGATGTAAGCCCCTGCAGCTACAGCGCCGACCATGGGCTCCCGCAGACCAGCTGAATGCACATGACGTTGTCTGCTTTTCAATGGCCAGTGCTCTGCAGTTTATTGTCGCCGACACGTGAAGGCAGGCGTTGATCTTGGCTTGCACAGTCGATTGGTTGGTATGCGCGTGCACGTGCAATGTGACCGAAGATACATAGCACAGCTTAGCTCAGCTAGCGTCCATGCATACGTGATGGTGATTACAGACGCTGGAACATTGATTGGAAGGGAATATAGTTGCCGTGCCTCCTTCGGCCATTTCCACTTTCTTCTTGGAGGGAATATGTCACATCATCGTATGGTTTCATGTGCTAACTCGGTCAGAATCCTTTGGTCTGTACCTTGTTACATGGCTTTAACTCCAGCCGTGACATATTTCATGACCCTCTAACTCTGGCTGTTGTGCCCTGACCTGACCCAACGACTCCTCGGGCCCACTCAGCCGTCTCGCCCAACCGTCTGCTGCGGGCGCAGTGCTGAACCGTCTCCCGTGCCGCGCCACTGACCGCTGTGCCTCTCCGACCCGTCTCCTGACGTAGACGGCCTTGTTGTCCAGGCACATCTCCCGACCCCGTTGGGACGCCGCAGTCCTGTGCACCCATCACTGTCTGTCCAGCCAGCCACGGCGCCTCTTGCGCCCTCGCCAGCGCCGGAGCTCACAGCCCGCTGTCCTCCAGACCCGGTCACCTTCCACCCAGCCAGCCACGGCGCCTCCGCCGCCCCCGCCACAGCCAGAGCTCACAGCCCAACCCGTCCGGCCTGCACTCGCCGGCTCTCGGAGGGGGGAGGGGGGGGGGGGTGACCGGTGCTGCGGGTCCGCCGGGACGTCCGTCTAGTCCGCTCAGGAGCTCCCGGCGGCCTGGAGTGGGGCGGCCCGGAGGCCAGTCCAGCGGCCAGGGTCACCCGTCGGCCGGGGTTCGGGGAGCGGCCGCTGGCTGGGCGTTCGCGCTGGCCGCTGGAACTCGCTCCACCCGGCGGTGGAGACAACGTCGCCAGTGGAGGTTACGCATCCTCCCTTCCTTTGCTTTTTCCAATCCTTTGCCTTACATTCTTCCTTTTCACAGAACAGCCCAGACCTCGAAGGGCCCCGACAAGAGCCCTCAGGAGGCCCGACAAAAGCCCTCGTGGAGCCGGTGTAGAGAGCAGTAATTGCTGACCGTCGGAATGATTTTCTCGTCGGCGTTCCCTGGGACTTTTTGATGATTTTTTCTTTTTTTTGCGCTGATGTCTTGCCTTCACCTGAGTATATGTGTCTTGCCGTTAGGCGTCATTCCTTGGTGACATTCCTAGACTCTTAATCCTTTCGTGTCCTATAGTGAGTAACGGAAAATTAGCATCCTTTAAGAGTTCTTATTTGCTGTTGTCACATATGCGCGGGTGGCCAAATTTGCTCAACTGGAAGCACAGGGCTGTACCTCCCCTTTTGTGCGTTACCGGCCGTATAGCGTGATTAAAGGGAGTGATGACTTGTGTCGTGCTTAGTGGGCCGGATTGAATTAACCGCTGCTTAATTTCATTTATGGTTTGGTCT